CGCTTCTTTGAGAATATTTTTCTTACACATCAAAGGAGTTGCATGGGGACTCTTCTCCCACGTCGCATGAAGATGCCGACCAGCACTCATTATTCATCCCTCGTCGCATTATTGATGATGAAGCACCCATTATTCATCCCTTGCCACAACCCGACGCTGCTGGCGAGGATATGTCAGCTGGGCCCTCTCGTTCCGCAGGGGAAGCATCACCCCCCTCTCCTGTTACAGCTGCGTTACCATCATCCCCTGCACCGGCCTCACCTCCCCCGGCCATCGAGCCTCGGCGCAGTCATCGTGCTCATCATCCGCCGAAGGCCCTCATGGATATTTATGAGGTTGACCTCCCTGGTGCTTCCACTGTCTCTTCTTCAATTCGACATCCCATTGCTAATCATGTAAGCTATTATCGACTTTCTGCACCTCATCGCGCATTCGTTGCCAGCATAACTCATCATCCTGAGCCCCGTTTCTATCACCAGGCAGTTCGGTTCTTGCATTGGCGGCTGGCTATGCAAGCCGAGATCTCGGCCCTGGTCGCCAACGGCACCTGGATTCTTGTTCCTCTTCCTCCTGGCAAGCGCGCGATTGATTGCAAATGGGTATATAAAATAAAGTTCTTACCAGATGGTTCCATCGAGCGCTACAAGGCGCGTCTGGTGGCAAAGGGGTTCACTCAGGTTGAAGGGATCGACTATCACGATACCTTTGCACCCGTTGCCAAACTAGTCCCAGTTCGATGTCTCTTAGCCGTTGCAGTCACCCGTGGTTGGTACATCCATCAGCTCGATGTTAACAATGCTTTTTTGCATGGGGATTTACATGAGGAAGTCAACATGAAAGTTCCTCAGGGTTTTCGTCGCCCGGGTGATGACAGGGTATGTTTACTGAAGAAATCACTCTATGGTCTGAAGCAGGCATCGCGGAATTGGTATCACAAATTTTCAGCTGCTTTGGTTGAGTTTGGTTTTCAGCAGAGCCGGGCCGATCATTCTTTGTTCACCTACCGCGCAGCTGGTTCCTTTGTTGTCGCGCTTATCTACGTCGATGATGTCATCTTGGCAGGTGACGATCTTCCATTCATTCAGCGTGTCAAACAGTTTCTGCATGACAGGTTCACCATCAAGGACCTGGGTCCCCTCAAATACTTCCTTGGCATCGAAGTGGCACGCTCTCCGCGTGGTATCGTCATCAATCAACGCAAGTATGCACTGGACATTCTTGCCGACTCTGGTCTTCCTGCTGCTCGCCCCTGCTCTTCCCCCATTGAGCAAAATCATCACCTTGGTCGTCAGGCTTCTCCTCCTGTTGCTGATCCGAGCGCATTTCGCCGCTTGGTCGGGCGCCTCCTCTACCTCACTGTCACTCGCCCGGACATCACTTACACAGTCAATTTGCTCAGTCAAGCCGTGCATGCTCCTACACAGGCTCACTGGGACGCTGCACATCGAGTACTTCGCTACCTCAAGCAGTCTCCGGGGCGCGGTCTGTTCTTCCCGGTGGATAATTCTCTCATCATCACTGGCTTCTGTGATGCTGACTGGGCTGGTTGCCCAACCACTCATCGATCTATGACTGGTTTCTTCCTCCGTCTTGGAGCTGCCCCAGTTTCTTGGCGTACCAAGAAACAGTCTGTGGTTGCGAGATCTTCTGCCGAAGCTGAGTACAGATCTATGGCCAGTACTGTCAGTGAAATCATATGGTTGCGGTGGCTTCTTTCAGAATTGGGTCCACCACAGCCTGGTCCTACACTTCTCTACTGTGATAGTCAGGCTGCTTTACACATTGCGGCCAACCCTGTTTTCCACGAGCGTACTAAGCACGTGGAAATGGACTGTTATTTCGTTCGTGAGCGTTTCCGGCCTCACGATATCTCTCCTTGCAAGATTGGGACTGCCGAGCAACCCGCCGACCTCTTTACCAAGGGTTTAGGCGTCGATCATTTTCACAATTTGTTATCCAAGCTTGGCATGTTCGATCTTCATGCCTCCGCTTGAGGGGGAGTATTGCGGATTGTGTCCGGTTCGCTCACGTCATCAAACCGGATCAGCCGCAAGTCTTGGACCCGGTTCCCTTTTCTCTCGTCTCAATCCTAGGGAATTAGGGTTAGTGTCATTAAGTCATATATAAAGGCCTTTTACTTGTTGATGGCCGATTATCACATGTACCGAAAATCATCAATGAAAACATCGAGAGCTCTGTTTCTCCGTGGAATAGTCTCGTTCTCATAGAACGGGGAAACCACGTAAATCGATTGTCCAGTGTTCGTTTTATTTCCGCACGTTAATTTTATTAGTGCGAGCCGAGCAATTGCTGTCTGAAGTTCAAATTGCCGAGCGGCATTGACAGTAGAATATGTGGTTGCCAGATGTCTCCACATACGATTTGCGGTAGGAAATAAACGAAGACTCAAACAAGTAGATGAATCTACGGATCCCAATAACCAAGAACGTACCCTAGCATCATTCTGATTCCATGTCCCGATTTGCTGAACTGTTGCGGCTATTGCTGGTTTGGGCACTGTCCCATCAAGTATGCCGAGCAAACCCTTCCCTTCAACAAATACCCTGAACTGAAATTCCCATAAAGCAAAATTGGTCGAATTGAGACGTACCGTTGGTCTGTCTAACTCCATTGGTGCAGGCTCTGATACCATGATAATCTATGCCAGAACTAATTAAGAACTGAAAGAGAGAACAATCCGATTTACGTGGTATTCCTGGAATTCGAGGACTAATCCACGGAAGAGTGTAAACCCTTCAGACTACTAATCTTATTATTGTGTTCTGTATCCCTAAACGTCATAAAGCTGCCGCTATATATACAAAGAAAAGGAAAACTTGGCCGAACCCTAGATGAGACCTCCAACGTCGGTTCATCATGCATGGATTACATGGGCCTATCAAATACTAAGGCTACGTACTGGGCTATACATTATGGGCTGTACATGGGCAATTAATTGACGGACTAACAACATTCAGTGTGTGTATATATAGGAGGTTTGGCGTTGGTAATATCATTTTTGGAGGTGGTAATGTCTCGGAATGAACCGAGAAAACAACCAAATTAAGGTTTATGTTCTGTAATTTTGTTCGAAATGTTCCAAATTTTGTTAAATTCCTCCGCAAGCAATTCTCAAGTTGGATGATTGTTGGATAGCGGTAAGGAGAGATGGTGACTAAAGGCCCTTGAATTCTTCGTCATGGTTCCCTACGAATCATTTTTGCATTAGGCGGAAGCAATTCAGGTGTACTTTCCTCGTCCTTTTCGATGGCTTATGGTTGGTTTCTTCGTTAAAGCGTTTTCTCTTCTGCAGAAGATAATATATAGGAGAGATGATGAAGAGTCTCGAACTCATACGAAGAAAGTCAGTAGGTGTCAAGGTCCGAGTCACGATCCAGTCTCTTAGATCGAATTGTAGTCGGTGACATCATAAAGTGATGAAGCCTATAACCACATCCTTCTCCTTCATATGATAAGTGGAATAAGCATGATTGAGGTCAAAAGGTCATCCAACTTTGCCAATACTAATGCCCCGATCTAGGTGTTGTTCGATTATAACGCCGTTTCGACTTTTGATTTGTCCACCTAAATTTAGGTCCATAAACATTCATATAAGAAAGGCCCATCAATGATCAAACCCATGAATTCACATAGATGTCTAGCTTTATCCATTTTTCGAGGGGCCTTCCTTGTTTTCTTTAGAAGGAGAGATAGGGTACAATTTACATTCCAAGTAATTAAGAAGAGATTATATAATCTGGAGCGAAAATTTTCGGAGTTAAACTCTATGTTTCGGACCATCATAGGAAAGGTAAACTTCATTGAGAAAAAAATATTGAGGCAGACATCATAAAAGAAGACCATAAATATGAGCACTTCTATTTTGCTATAAAGTATTGATATTTTAATGTACAACTTAAAGTTGTATCATAATGTTAAATGTATAAGTTCAGGTAAAGGAACTTGTACTATTATGTTATGGTACAACTTTACAAGTTAAAGTTGTACCATCATATAAAGGTACAAGTTCAAGTTATACCATAAAAGAATTTGTACAAAACAGTATAGGTACAATCTGAAGTTGTACCATAACGTTAAATGTACAGTTTCAAGTTGTACCATAAATGCAAAATCTTATAGCACCAATGCTATATAGCATTGCAAAATTTCTCCCATAACTATAACCTTTGTTGAAATTGAAATTGAAATTTTTTATAATGAAATTTAAATTTTTTTTGTATAGAAAGACTCAAAATTATCTACACAATAATAACCATTTTGTTATATTTTGAGCAAATAAAAAATTACTTTTTTAAAACACATGTTTGTTATACTATTAGCACTATCATATCATATCATGATATGACTGTGGTATGATAACCCATCTCTAACATTTTAACTCAAAATAATAATAAAAAAATTGTATAGAAAGAACCCATTAATTAAGATATACATATATTCATTTTGTTATGTTTTGTTAGAAAAATACCTCATACCAACATCATATCATGATATGACTGTTATATAATGTTATAAAATTATTTTTTTCAAATATAAGACCTCATAAGTCATATCAATATCATATCACTATCATACCATCTACACAATGATATTCATTTTGTTATGTTTTGTCAAACATAAAACTTTATATGAACATCATATCACGATGATATATCATGATATCCGTTTTGTTATGTCTTGTCTTTTTACTGTGTTTGTGAGTTAGTTTAGTTATCACTGTACCCACAATTATAAGTAAAATTGCCATCTCTACACATGATATACACCCTACGTTTCAAATACAAAAGAAAATATCATCGACAGACAAAAATGTCGATATATCCTTGACTATGAAAAGGTAATTGTAATTAGCCAACATAGTTTGGAAGATACCAAGGATGAGATTACGATAGCCATGGATGCCACAGCAGGAATAGTCGGATTGATTTGATCAATATATCCCCTCAAACTCTCAAAGTTCTACTTAACATAAAATCGAAGCTCTAGCTAATTAGGCAGCCAAACACAGAACCAGCGGTATGTATTTCAGCATGCACACAAATCAATATTAACCAACTACCATCTTCAACAATGGCTTCTTCCTTCACACAGCTCTTCACGCTGCTGGCAATCATTGCCGTCGGCTCCGACACCGTCGTTGAAGCCGCACCAGACCTAACTTACATCTCGGCCCTCTGCGGCGGGGAAAAGGACCCCAACCCTCCTGAGCTGAGCGATCGAGCATTCCAAGTAACGGGCTTGGCGGTTAACTTCGCCGTCCCCGACGACTTCGGCTTCTGCGCCGCCGTAAAGAACAAACCCGTAATGTATGGTTTCGGCTCGTGTCCCAATGTTGTTTCTGAAAATTCCGAGGAAGATTGCACAGCGTGCCTCAAGTTTGCGCAAGATTGGTTGCTCAACACCTTGTGCAAGGATGTGTATGGCGGGCAGATCAGGCTCGCGGGTTGTTTCTTGAGGTACGAGACATATAAATTCTGCGACGCTTAAATGAAAATCTCGTCCGAATTACAGTAAATCAGTTATATCCCGAAAAAAAGTCCGTTTGTGAACAAGAAATGACTTGTGTTAGTAGCTCTTTATCGGAGTAAGTGTGTTTATTGTGTCTTCTTACTTCGTCCTTCAAGCTTACATATGATAAACTTTCGGTCTCGTGGTAATTAATGTGGAATAATACTAATAATAAAAGAAGAGCATTGATATATGCTAACGTTGTGTTTGGGAAAGATGTGTGCCTGTGTTGGGCCTTCATACTATTATGTAAGCATTTGCTACGTGCAAAAGTGCGGTAAACTTTGCAGAGCAGAAGTGTTCATATTCTTAATAAATAAGTGCATGTTATGTAATAACTAATGTTGGTTTGGCAATGATGTGTGGGGTGAACAATATGTGCTATATTATGGGATTCAATTTGCAACATGAGAACTGCAAATTATAAAGATAGAAAAAAAGTGTGTAGATTTGCTATATGTTGCTATTCATATATTTTATAAAAACTCGGCACAACCGCCTCGATAAAATTCCTTCTCTTCGGCCCAACCAGGTTCCGACTGTGACGGATGACGCTTTTAGCGTCGGTAACAAACCCGTCGTAAAGAGCCATCGCCTAAAACCTTTTGTTACTTTTAAGTGCATTTATGTTTTTATTAGGATTATCAATTTTATAATTTAGGAAATAATTTCATTTTGGGTTTATATGTACAAAGAAATTATGTTTACTAATGATATTTATTTTATTGCTCATATTAACTATAAAATTTAGAAATAAATAATTTTTAGTATTTAAAAATTACAAATAAATTATATTTAATCACGATAACTACTTCATTGTCCTTATTAATTTTATTATTTAGAAATAAGTCATGTTTGACAAATAAATAATTTACATATTAATTGTAGAATTTAGATATTTGTATAATTTATTCCGTAATTCAAACCTTAAACCCTCATACTTGCAGCTGGGCCGAATATTTCTGTTGCCTGGGCCCTGGGCCAGGCATCGGCCACCGAATTCTCGAGGACGGACCTGATTGGTGACAAGTGATGATGGCATGTAGCAAAAATTCTCCGATTCGTTTTCCGGCGACTGCCATTTTTTACAATTGTTAACATTTTGTACAAGTTGAGTGAATCGGATATTTGTGTTAAGTTGTGAAAAACTCATTTCCCCATGAAATGTAATTGTGAATATAAAAAAATTGACAGTACTGAGACAGAAGAGCAGCAGTGATTTGCAGAAGAAAGAAGAATCTTCAGAATGAGACGATTGTGTTCGGTAACCCATTTTATCTCAATCTGAACGAAAATATGTCGATCTCCTTAGTCTCTGAGTTGTTTGATGGATCTAACTACTCCATGTGGAGTAGATCTATGCAAATGGTTTTAAAAACAAAGCATAAGGTGGGTTTTATAGATGGAACTATACCCATGCCTCTTAGAGAATCAGATCACTTTGCCTTGTGAGATGCTTGTAATACACTAGTGTTGTGTTGGATTCAGAACTCTGTCGCTAAGGATATCAGGAGATCTGTTCTTACACACAGTAATGCCAAGGCACAATGGGATGAACTTAAAAAGGAGATATAGAGTACTTAATGCCCTTCGCATCATGAACTTGGAAGATGAGATAGGTGATTGTAAGCAGGGTTCACAACCCATCAGTCAGTACTACACTAAGGTTAAAGGGTTATGGGATGAGTATGTCGAGTTTAACCCAATTAATCCTTGTGCCTGTGCACCTGGAAACCCCATACCTTGTGTTGCTGTAGCTGCTTTCATTCAGAAGCAAGAAGCATATTATCTTATCAAGTTCATGAGGGGATTAAATCCAGCCTACGCCATTGTAAAGACACAACTGCTGATGCAAAAACCGCTGCCCACTGTATCTACAGCTGTAGATGATTTGCTGCAACATGAACAGAAATTAAAGGGTGATAATGTGGCTGGGGGAAGAAATCACAGACAATGGCACTTGCAGTTGAAGGAGAGCAAGGAAGGGATAGCAATGAAGGAAGACAGGGAAGAAAGTTTTGCAGATTCTGCAAAATGAGGAATCATAATATTGAGGACTGCTCGAAGTTGAAAAAGAAACAAGGGGAACAAAAGGATGGAACAAGTTCATGATCCAATTCTAGTTCTGGGACACCTAGAGTTGCTGGATCAGTTAACCAGTATGGAGTATCAGATGCTCATTCAGAAGGAGGTTCTTCAGCAGAAGGGAGTGGAACTCAGGTATCCATTGGATTCACAGCTGAAGAGATGACCAAACTCAGGTATCTGTTACAAGCTGGTGATGGCTCACCCTCTTCACCAAATTCCCCATCCATCAACCACCAAGCTTTTTCAGTTTCTCAATTCCTAAGCCCTTTTCCTAACCATTCAGGTAAATACATCCTTTCTTCATTTCAACAAACCAATGTAGCTCCCATAGATCTGTGGATTTTAGATACTGGACCCTCAGATCACATAGCATGTTGCAAAACCCTTTTCTGTGAGAGTAGAATTGTTGCTGACACCTTTGTTTACCTACCAAATAGTACAAAAGTGTTGGTCTCACATATAGGGACTGTCAAAATACCATCAGGACAGTTCCTATATGATGTTCTACTAGTACCCAGTTTTACTTTTAATCTCATTTCAGTGAGTAAACTAACCAAAGACTTTCCCTTATCCTTACACTTCCAATCTGATCATTGTGAAATTCAGGACCTGTTAAGCATGAAGAGGATTGGCTTAGCAAAAGAGTCTAGGGGACTATACCAACTTACCTTCACAAGAAGCCAGACCAAGACTTTTTCATCAAACCAGACCAAGACTTAGCAGCCTTCACATAAACACCAAGCAGCCTTTACCTACAACTTTCAACCACAAGAACTTGATCTATGGCACTGGAGATTAGGAAACCCTAGCCATGATAGATTGTCTTTATTACATCAAAACAATCCAGTTGTAACTAGCCATAGGATTCAACATTGTGAGATCTGTCATTACTCTAAACATAAGAAACTTCCCTTTCCTGTTAGCACCAGCTTTGTTTCAGATGTGTTTCAGCTTATCCATGTGGATATTTGGAGACCTCTTTCTATTCTTTCGTATGATAATTACAGTTATTTCCTTACAATTCTCGATTATTGTTCACATGCTGTTTGGGTTTATCTGATGCGCCATAAGAGTGAGACAAGAGGTATGTTATAGGGTTTCTATAATGTGGTTAAGAACCAGTTTAACACAACAGTGAAGATTATCAGAAGTGACGGAGGGAAAGAGTTTGATATGAATGAGTTTTATCGAATGGAAGTTATTGAACACCAGGTTTCTTGTGTTGAAACACCAGAACAGAATGGAAGGGTGGAGAGGAAGCACCAACATATACTCAATGTTGCTAGAAGCTTGAGGTTTCAATCTGGTATACCACTGGAGTTTTGGAGTGACTGCATTCTTCATGCAGTGTATATCATAAATAGAATGCCAACACCAATCCTTAACAACAAATCCCCTTATGAAGTACTTTATAAACAGACACCATACCTAGGCAACCTGAAGGTGTTTGACAGCTTGTGTTATGCTAGTACCCTACTACAAAGCAGGATCAAGTTTGCTCCTAGATCCAAACAGTGCACCTTTCTAGGTCTACCACCAGGTGTAAAGGTTTACAAGTTGTTGGATATACAGGATTTCAAAGTGTTTGTGCCTCGGAATGTTACATTCTATAAGGATATACTTCCTTTCAAATCCTCCACTGGTGATACAGAAGATGATTCTACTTTCCCATCTCCATCTGTCACATCTGTGTACCCTCCTACTCATTCTTCTCCTCCTATTCTATGCCACCTGTTCCACCTAATCACCCTCAGTCTGTTCCATCCAAGGATGATGGGGGGCATCCTACTGCACTGAGTCCTGAAACAGGTGACACAAGTAACAACAGTGAAACAAATAACAACAACAACAGTTCCATTCATCACCATCAATATGAGTACTTTGAGTCTAATGATGATGAATTATTGCCCCAGCAAGAGGTTGATCTTGATGCTTATGCAGAGATTACAGCTCAGGATGCAATGACAAAAAAGAAAGGGAAACTTCCAGCAAAGTATAATGACTACTATCTTGATGGGCAGGTTGGTAACTTCAAGAAATCTAATTCTTGCTCTAGGTATCCAGTCTGTTTCAATATGGATCTTCTGGCTCCATCAGACAGAACCTATGCAATGAATGTAATGACCATGTTTGAACCAGCCTCTTATTATGAAGCTATCAAGAGTGATGAATGGAACAGGGCTATCAACAATGAGATATACTCACTTGAAGAGAATCAGACATGGGACATAGTTCCACTTCCAAAGGGAAAGAAGCCAATAGGCAACAAGTGTGTATTCAAGCTCAAACTGAAGCAAGATGGTTCCCTAGAAAGGGAAAAGGCCAGATTAGTGGCAAAAGGGTTCACACAAGTGTATGGGATTGATTTTCGGGACACATACTCTCCAGCGGCCAAAATCAATTCAGTCAAAGCACTCCTGGCAATTGCTAGTGTGAAGAACTAGATTCTAGAACAATTGGATGTATCAAATGCCTTTTTACATGGATACTTGGAGGAAGAGGTGTACATGAAGATACCACTGGGGTGAAAGTGCTAGAGTCTAATGGTCAAACTATGGTTTGTAAACTGAAAAAGTCTCTTTATGGACTTAAGCAAGCATCCAGGCAGTGGTTTGCAAAGCTGACAGGTTACCTGATGAAACTTGGCTTTGCTCAATCTGCTTCAGACTACTCACTCTTTACAAAATGGGTCCATGGCAAGGTTGTGGTACTTCTGGTGTATGTAGATGACATCATCATTGGTGGTGATGCTTAGAAAGACATAAATCAAGTCAAAATAGCTCTGAGCAAAGAATTCAAGTTGAAGATGCTTGGACCTTTGAAGTACTTCTTGGGGCTGGAAATTACCAGAAATGATGCTGGCATAAGTGTAAGCCAGAGGAAATATTGTACTGATTTGTTGAAGGAAACATGTTACCTTGAAGCCAAAGGATGCAAGTCACCTATGGACTGTAAGGTAAAATTGACTGCAATGAACTTTGTTAGAAGATGGAGAAGGATACAGGAGGTTAATTGGGAGATTGCATTATCTGACAATCACAAGGCCAGATGTGGCATTCCCAGTACAGCAGCTATGCCAGTATCAGAAGAACCCTTGTCAGGAACATATGCAAGCAGCATACAGGGTTCTGAGGTATTTGAAAACCTCACCAGGACAAAGAATACAGTTTAGCAGCACAGCAAGATTGAAGTTGATTGGCTATAGTGATTCTGATTGGGCAAGCTGCCCTGACACTTGAAGATCTGTGACAGGTTATTGTACATTTCTTGGATCATCACTTCTCACTTGGAAGACAAAAAAGCAGACAACAGTGTCCAGATCCTCTTTAGAAGCAGAGTACATAGCTTTAGCACACTTAGTCTGTGAAGTACAGTGGCTGAGAAGATTGCTTGCTGAGTTAACTGTACAGGTACCCCTTCCTATACCAATTTATTCTGACAACAGATCAGCAATACACATTGCAGAAAACCATATTTTCCATGAAAGGACTAAGCATATAGAGATAGATATGCATGTTACAAGAGAAAGGATTAAGAGTGGACTGATCAAGCTTCAGCATGTTGGAACTGCAAATCAACTGGCAGATTTGTTCACTAAGGGTTTGGACAGGTTTAGAATTGATGAGTTACTGGTCAAGTTGGGGATTAAGAATGGAATTGAATCGCCAACTTGAGGGGGGATGTCAAGGTACTGAGACAGAAGAGCAGCAGTGATTTGCAGAAGAAGGAAGAATCCTGAAGGCTTGCAGATTGCAGTAGGAAGAAGAAAAGTATAAGAAAACGTGTCGTGTCTCTACCTTCATCTTTTAGTTTTGTTGAAAACGTTACCGTTTCATTTATCGTTGTTAGCCGTTAGAGAAGCACTGTTAGCTTCTTAATAGACCAATAGTGTTTGGACACTTGGAAAGCTACTGCTAATTTGATTTCCTAGCTATAAAAGGAACAGAGGACTCAGCAGGTTAGACCGAGCTTCCTCTTCCCAAATCTCTTGCAAATTCACAAGCAAATAGTATTCCTCTTCCTTTCGTCGTCCTTTATGGCTAACGATTGTGAAAAGTACCCACCCCACTAGTTCACAACAGTTTCGTCTCTAAAAAGAGTTTGTATTTCTTTGGAAACTAATTCATTTCGCTAGAGCTGTCGAGACGTTAATTTCACATGTGCAGGAGAGGGAAGCCGAAAATTACACTTGTATTTATAAATAAACAACACTACAAAGTTTTTTTTTTTTTTTTTAAGATACACTTCAAAGTTTGGAGTTTGCTACAGTGACATGTTAAATTCCAAATCACGATGACTTGTAAGTCAGATAATTTAATCTCAATTGTTGGTGAACAATATTTTTGGAACCATGGTTCGGCGATAGAAAAAACGGGCGCGGCCACTCATCATCAATGATTTGACCGATTGATCGTGATCTAATCAGTATTGGAGCATAATTAACAAAAAGCTTGTGTATAAAAAGATAGTTGACGATACAACAAAATGTTATTGGTGTAGACATCACGTCTTGAAATAAGTCAACCTGGAAACCAAGAGTTCGTTATTTTCAATTGAATGGTCGACCATATGGTCTTCAAGCCACCTTCCATACATCATATTATTAAAGGACTACGAGTTTTTATTGATACATTAAATCCGACCGGCCCGTGAAAGAGCACGATTGACTGTTGTAAACCACACGAAGCATTTATATAATATATATTAACTATATCAATCAACCGAATCTCCATATCGGTAGCACAAATTTGTCCGCCAGACCCCAAGTCACACTGACTTGAAATTTTATCAAATCATTACATGATTTCAATCAAACAAGCGGTGCGGACTAATCAATATATGGTGAGACGCAGTTCGATCCGCACCGATTTCCACCCCGTACAATCTTCTTTTTAAATGGATCTACACAAGGAACACTTTTTCTACCTTTATAATTTCTAGTTCTTATGTTACAAATTGAAGCCCATAATATAGTACCTATTATTGTTAATTATTAAGCAAAGCAAAAAAAAAAAAAACACTTCTCTTTCTAAAATTTACAACACTCTTTCACAAGCAAATGCTTACATAACACTATAATACATCCATTTATCATTATTAAGCTATATATATGAAGGCCCAACTAAGGCACACATTTTTCCAACACGATGCTTGCATATAACACAATGCTCTTCTTTTATTATTAGCATTATTTCACATTACCACCAGACCGACAATATGATCAAGCTTGAGTCTGCGCAGTATATGTATCTCCCTAATATATAGGAAGTGAATGAAATATATTCGACCGAAAATTTATCATATGTAAGCTTTTTCGTTAAGCATCGCAGAATTTATGCGTCTCGTACCTCAAGAAACAACCGGCGAGAGTGATCTGCCCGCCATACACATCCTTGCACAAGGTGTTAAGCAGCCAATTTTGCGCAAACTTGAGGCACGCGGTGCAGTCTTCTTTAGAAACGACATTGGGACACGCGGCGTAAGCATACATGACTGGTTCGTCCTTTATGACGGAGCAGTAGCCGAAGTCGTCGGGGCTCGCCAAGTTAACCGCCCAGCCCGTCACTTCGAATGCTCGATCGCTCAGCTCGGGAGGGTTGTCGTCCGTTTCGTGGCCGCAGATGGCCGAGATGTAAGTTAGGTCGGGTGCGGCTTTAACGACGGGTTTGGGGCCGACGGCAATGATTGCCAGCAGCGGGAAGAGCAGTGTCAAGAAAGAAGCCATGTTGAAGAATGGAAGATGGTAGTTGGTTACTATTGCTTTGTGTGCTTGCTGAAATAGGTACCGCTGTTTTTCTGCGTTTTGGTTGCTTAATTAACTAGCTTCGATTTTATAGTATGTCGAAACTTTTTGATTTGCGGGGATATATCGATCAGATCAATCCGAATATTCTCTCTGCTGTGGCATCCATGGCCGTCTTACTCTTGTCCTTGGTATCTTCCAAACTATGTTGGCCAATTATAGTTACCTTTTCATCGTCAAGGATATATCGACATTTTCGTCTGTCGTCAATGATATTTTTTTTTTTACATTTTTGAAATGCTGGGTGTATCATGGGTGGACCTGGCAATTTTACTCATAATTGAGGGTACACCGATAACTAAACTAACTCACAGACACAGTAAAAAGACAAGCGATATAACGTGGTATATATCCCTGTAATTCCAGAACTAATTAATCGATGGAAGAGGTTAAACTCTTCAAACTATCGGTTCACAATGATGTTTTGATGATCGGCTACATTCCGTACAAAATCTCTATATATCAAACCTATCGTAGGAAATCAGTAGAGCCAAGATTCGAAAATACCAACGTCTTATTTCAAAAATATAAATATTTAATAAATATAATTAAACGAATAATATCCAGATATTTTATTTATAGATAATAAAGATATATTTGACTAATACAATCATTATTTTCATAAATATGAAATAATGACTTGTATTATAATGGTCGAACAGTCTTATATTTCAGCATAGTACTTGATAGGAAATCTATAACGTGTAGTAGTTTTTCATAGGGAAAGAACAGTAGTGGGTGTCGAGAACCAATTAATCCCTATAACTCAAGTTGTTGGGAGAGGTTCAATTCGTGGATCATATACCACACACTAACACGCCCACTCAAATACAAGCAGCTCACAAGGGCTTGAATTTTGCACAAGTGCCGAATACCATGTGCTTAACAAAATGGGGGTTATCAGGATGGCAAGATTCAAACACAACACCTCTCGGTCATGGAAAGCTTTGATACCATGTCAAGAACCAATTGATCTAATAACTCAAATTGTTGGGAGAGGTTCAATCATGAATCATATACCACACACTAACAGAGGGATGGTCATGTACTATGAATATTGTTCGGGCTCACAGTGGGGTACTTTGAATATTGTCTAAGGAGTTCTTTTTTATGAAAAGCAAAGCTTTTATTTCATCAAAGTACCGCACTGTGAGCCCGAACAATATTTATAGTACATTACCATATATATGGTGACTACTTCGGTGCACTCGCAAAAATGAGTGTGTTCAATGCACCAACTCATAAACTTTAAGGTGTCAGATTTTGAATTTTAATTAGTAGAATTAGTGTAATATGATTTTTTATAACATATGATAACAACTAATTAACGGATTACCCTAAGACCTAGACCTCCAATTTTGAGTTCTATCCCTAAACCCAAATTGTAACATATATATATATATATATATATAAATTGTGACGTCTTCGGTGCACTCAATTTTTTGGTGCATTCAGTGTACTTGCTTCATAACCGTCATTTTAAACATGCGATTTATGTCAAAATGATGGCAATCATCACTTATGATGTGATGAACAATAACGCGTGTGAATTTGCACAAAAACCATTAAAGATTTACTTTAATTTGAAGGATTAAGAGTTTAGAGATTTAGGGTTAGAGTTTACAATTTGGGGTTTAGGGATAAAACTCAAAATTGGAGGTCTAGGTCTTAGGGCAATCCATTAATTAGTTGTTATCATATGTTATATAATCATATTACACTAATGCTACAAATTAAAATTCAAAATCTGACACCTTAAGACTAGTTTTTGAGTTGGGTGCATTGAATGCACTCATTTTTGTGAGTGTACCGAAGTAGTCATTATATATATATGTGGTGACGTCTTCGGTGCACTCACATTTTTGGGTGCATTCAGTGCACTCGCTTCATAACCGTCATTGTAAACATGCGATTTATGTCAAAATGATGTCAATCATCACTTACGATGTGATGGACAATAACGCACATTAATTTGCACAAAAAACCATTAAAGATTTACTTTAATTTGAAGGATTAGAGTTTAGAGATTTAGGATTAGGGTTAGGGTTTATAATTTGGGCTTTACGGATAGAACTCAAAATTGGAGGTCTAGGGCTTAGGGTTATCCACTAATTAGTTGTTATCATATGTTATATCATCATATTATACTAATTCTACATCTTAAAATTCAAAATTCGACACCTTAAGACTAGTTTTTGAGTTGGGTGCATTGAACGCACTCATTTTTGTGAGTGCACCGAAGTAGTCACCATATATATATAATCAGAGTCATAAATAGCATTTTATTTCTACAACATAAAATATGTTATGACTGTTTCTCTACGGATCGGAAAATAAGAGGAACGATAAAGTAAGAATACGAAAGCAAGGGGACCCGCTATCCTCTCTTGATAGACCATTGATTGCACATGTTTTTACCCTTATTCTTGAGCCGTTTGAGAGGTCGATTCTCGCGTTTTAGGCCGATTTCACGCTATGTTGTTCTTGTTTGTGATATTTCAGGTCCTAGTACGTGAATGAAGGTTTGGGAACGAGTTCGGGCTCGATTGGACGAAGATTGGACATTTGGCGGGAAGCTGATGGAGCCACACGGGTACACCTAAAACCTACACGGTCGTGTGACCTGGCCGTGTGACATCAAATTGCACGGGCAAATTCACATGGGCCGTGTAGGGTACCCCTTGTGGCCGTGTGGAAATTCCAGGGAACTCACATGGACATCCTGGAAATCCACACGGCAGTGTGGGTCTGGCCGTGTAGTCACTTAACGAAACGGCGCGTTTTTGCAACCTCACACGGGCAGCTGGGGGAAGTCACACGGCCGTGTGGCCTGGCCGTGTGAGTCAGGAATTTCTGGGTTTTAACCCAATATCCAGCATAAGGAGAGGGAGTGCCGAGTTTTAGAGAGAAAGGGCGATACCTAGAGAGAGAAAGTGACAAAACTGATCCTGCAAGTGTCATAGATTGATCTCCATCACCATTGGAGCCCGGCGTGAGCTTGGAGAAGACCTGATTGAGTGCCAGAAGCATATTCCTAACCTTCACAGTATGGTTTCCGCATCTGAGTTAGATTTCCTATCTCTCTCTATGGAGTAGTTTTCTTATTCACCTGGGTATGAAGAACCCTAGATTTGTATGTTAGGCTGATTGTATGAACCCAAGTACAGATTCTGTGATATGATTATATTCAATTGAGGTTTGATTTATTGAATGGCATGAATCCTGATCAAATTCCTGTTGTTTCTACTTTAACCTAGAAAGATAATATCTGCCTAGGTTGATAGAGCACCCTTGATTGAAGGTAGTGAATTGACGACTTTAGTCGAGAAGTCAATTCACTATTCTGTACCGAATTCACTTCGGTAGTGGAGGTTTGGTTCGTTAAGGCCTCAATCTGTTTACTCCGGTGGAAGTTAGTCGCCTGCTAGAGACTCAGATTGAGAGGGTGAAGAGACCTTTAGTCGAGACTTCAGACTGTTTAAGAACATCCAGCAGTATAACTATCATTGAAATTGAACTTGGTAAATTACAATCCGGCTTAACTGTGGTCTAGGGGGAACCATATCCGGGTGACCTCTCTCGACTTGAAAACAACCTTTTTACTTGCTTGCTTGTTTGCTTGTTTCGACCTTCACTAAAGTTTCAATGCTAAATAATAAGAACTCACGGAGTAGTTATCACATCTAGGACCCAGGTTGACATTAAAACCCAAACCCGCTATACTACGCTTTAGGAGATGGTTACACTTGGCCATTTTCTAGAGTGACGGTAAGAGCGAGTCATATCTCCTATTTGTGCTTTGCATGGAGGGCTTCGTTGCTCTCCTGTGGCATGACATTTATGTTGGGAAGCTTGAAGGGGTTAAAGTTGCCCATAGGGTGCCTCGGATATCGCATATGTTTTTCGCAGATGAATCTTATTTTTTCTTCAGAGGCTCTACGCAAGAATGTAAAAATCCGATTGAGGTTTTAAATGAATGTGAGGAGCTCAGTGGACAATGGGTGAATTTGGATAAATAGGCGCTTATGTTTTAGTAAAATATTTTTGTGTCGGACCAAGAGTTTCTTGTTCAAATCCTCAGGGTTGGGGCTGTCGGATTCCAAGACAAGTATCTGGGGTTGCCCATGCTGATAGACAAATAAAACATGGCTACGTTCCGCTTTTTGGAGGAAAAACTGCTTAGTGGGCTTCAGGGATGAAAGCAGAGGACATTGTCTTGGGATCAATAGAGACATTGTTAAATCAATTGCTTTGGCGTTGCCATTACATGTGATGTACTGTTTCAAGCTTCCTTTATCTCTCCGTCGATTCTTGGATAGACACGATGCAAGATTCCGGTGGGGTGTTGAGGGGAATCGTTCCTGGATAAGGTGGATGTCCTGGCGGAATATGTGCCAAAGTAAGCATGATGGTGGAATGAGATTTCGTCGGTTTGAACATTTTAATCATGCTCTCTTGAATAAGATTGGATGGCAAACTTTGAACGAACCTCAGTCGCTCCTTGCCTAGGTTTACAAAGGAAAATATTTTCCGACCGGGACTTTCCTCACTTCCTCTGCACGATCACGACCGTCTTGGGGGAGATAGAGTATACTCTATGGTCGCCAGTTGTTAGTCAAGGGCCTACGATGGCAAATTGGTAATGGCCGGCCTACTTCTTTGCTTCACTCATATTGGATTCCACAAATCCACCGCCAAACCCCTGTGTATAATCCCCAGATGCTATCAAAGAGTGGAGACAAGACAGTGGCAGAGGTAATGGACTAGGGGAGGGCTAGTGGTGTGATCGTGGACTTAGCCAATGGTTTGACCCAACATCTTGTCATGCCATCAAAGCAATTCCTCTTCCTCCTGAATAGGTGAAGGATAGATTGATCTGGCATGACACAAGTAACGAGATTTTCATGGTTAAATCGGCATATCATCTTGCGATATTGTTGGATAAGCAGAGAGGCTGGTGGCGATCTATGACCCGTTGGATGGATCGATCAAGGGATGCCCGACACCCTAATTCAGTTGTTTGTATGTTGGTGAGGCTACTAAGAGTGAGTCTCATTCTACAGAGGGAATGATTATCTTGGACCAGAGAGGGAGGATCCTTCAGTCTAAAGGGGTGCAGTTCCTTGATATTGATGATCCTCTAGTTCTCGAGCTTCTCTCTCTCCGGGAGGCTATTCTTTGGTGTCTGGTGCAAGGGTTTGCGGAAACAAGTTTTGAAGGAGAAGCTAAATTTATAATGGATAAAATCAATCGAGCTGATACTAGAGATAATTGGTCGGGAGCCATCCTCGAGGAGGTCCTCGGTTATTTTGTGCTGCATTCTGGGCTTCATTTGCAATGATAGGGTAGCCCATTTGGTGGCTAGAAAGATCCTTTGTTTGTACCTGACTACGTGTCGTTTCTTTGATTTTCTGATCTGACTTAATTCCAGGATGTAATGATCTTTTGGTCAAAATATATATAATTTTATTTTGTAAAAAAATATATAAATTGAAGCCCATGATATAGTACATATTGTTCATCCCAGACATCATTGCCAAACCAACATTAGTTGTTACATAACATGCAAACATTAAGAGACAAACAAAAAAAAAACAATTCGCTTTGTAATGTTGACAACGGTCTTTTTCACAATCAAATGCTTACATAACAGTATAATACAGCCATTTATAACAATGTTTGCATATAACAATTCCATTCTTTTATTATCAGTATTATCTCACATTACCACAATACGATCAACTTTGAGGCTGCACAGTACATATCTCCCTAATAGGAAATGGAGGGGAATATATTCCACCGAAAGTTTTTCATATGTAAGCTTGGAGGGCGAGCTCAGCTAAGAAGACTGTCAACGCACTTACTCTCGTAAAGAGCGGCTAACACAGCTTATTTCTTGTTCAGAAACGGACTTTTTTCTCGGGGATGATGACTGATGTACTCTAATATTGGGAGTGCGAGATTTTAAGCATCGCAGAATTTATATGTCTCGTACCTCAGGAAACAACCCGCCAGAGTGATTTGCCCGCCATACACATCCTTGCACAAAGTGTTGAGCACCCAATTTTGCGCAAACTGGAGGCACGTGGTGCAGTCTTGCTGAGAAACAACATTGGGACACCAGCCGAAACCATATACGACCGGTTCGGTGTCTACGGCGGAGCAGGAGCCGAAGCCGTCGGGGCTCGTGAAGTTAATCGCCAAGGCCGTCACTTGGAATACTCGATCGCTCAGCTCAGGAGGGTTGGGGTCCGTTTTCGGGCCGCAGAGGGCCGAGATGTAAGTTACGTCGGGCGCGGCTTTAGCGACGGTTTTTGGGCCGACGGTAATGATTGCCAGCAGCGGGAAGAGCAGTGTCAAGAAAGAAGCCATGTTGATGATGATGGTACGTAGTTGGTATACTATTGGTGGTATTTCTTCTTCTTATTGCTTTGTGTGCATGGAGAAATAGATAGTACTGCTGGTTCTGTGTTTGGCCGGCTAATTAAGTAGCTTTCGATTTTATAGTAAGTAGAACTAACTTTGAGTTTTGAGGGGATATATCGATCAAATCAATCCAACTATTCATGCTGTGGCATCCATGGCTGTCGTACTCTTGTCCTTGGTATCTTCCAAACTATGTTGGCTAATTACAATAATTACCTTTCCATTGTCAAGGATATATCGACATTTTCGTCAGTTAATGATGTTTTATTTTATATTTGAATTGCAGGATTGTATCATGGGTAGGGATGGTAATTGTACGTACAATCATGGGTATCATATCTTTTCCGATTCAGCCGCCAGCGAGGGATATTTCTGCATTAACCGCGAATATGGGGTGGTTAATTATCTGAATTGCTATTCGTCGCCCTAAAATTCAAAGTTTGTCGCCCTAAAATGCACATAATTGACCCTTTTACCCTCCTGTCTCAATTTCTAACCAAAACCTACGAACAGTCTCTTACCCTGCCAGCCATCGCCGAGCTCCTCTATCCTCCGCTCGCTGCTGCCGCTGCCAGATTCCTCTCGCCAACAGCTGACCACCGCCGGATTCTACTGTTGCTGCCAGATTCTACTGATTAAATATATGTGCAATATGATAAAGAGTGGTCAAAGACTTGGATCTCTCTGTATATATGATTCATTAAATAATGTCTTTGGATTCCTTAGAATTCTTTTTCTTGGTTAAACCATTCGCAGTAAGAGGACTCTGATTCCATTGGAGAAAGACAACTTTATATTCATTAGGGGAAAAATACAGCTTTATGCTTTGCAGTTGCAGCCGTCCACATTAGCTATTTGCTTATGCATATCATATAATTGGAAGGGAAGGGGGAAAGGGATTCAGCCAACCGACCATCAAGAAAGCCGACCTGTTCTCAACTCGCCGGAAATGAGTTTTCAATCCATCCGCTGGTTCCAACGGCGGTTACGAAAAAACCCCGGATATGGAAAGTCCTCTGAAAATAGGAAATAGAGATGAGATACAAACTAAACTAAGGATATTTGAGTCATTTTGATAAAAATTAGGGCGACGAATAAGGTAATTTAGGGCGACGAATAGCAATGCCGATATTTATCCACTAACGAAAGTGATGAGAATGAGTAGGGGTGTGTTCGTCCCATCCACATATCCATACCCACCCCGCATATAAATTCATATACTACATAGCTACATCTAATTATAGGACATCCAATCTCCTCCTCCATCGTCTACTAAAATTTTGGAAGAACATAATGCTAAAACCTTAATTTCACTTTTACAGTCCAATAGTCATCTTTTCTCCCTCATTTCCCCTAATAATTTTTTTTTTTTTTTTTTTTTGCATTGAAGGGAGACCGAAGCCGCACAGAAGAGGTTACAGAGAAGAAGGAGGTTGCGTCACAACACGACGCTCAAAAGAAATGCCCATACAATCATCAATAAGAATGGGAGTTAACGCCGGCGGTGGATCAACAAGTTCATGCATACCCAGGGGATAGACGAGACTGTGCTTCGAGAGCCAGTCCGCGGCTCTATTTCCCTCCCGATACACATGTCCAATGCTGACCAACCAATCCTGCGCCAAACTCCTCCGAATTGATGCCAACAAGGCAGCGTAGGGATGAACGGGTTCATGGCGACTCTTAATCAAAGCGATAGCCATTTGAGAATCTGACTCAATAAAAACACAAGCACACCCTGCTTTCCTGGCGAGTTGGAGGCTATAGTAGACAGCCCAGAGCTCAGCAAGAGTTGCCGAGGCTTCGCCCACTTTAGCAACAAAGCCCCGGACCCACTTACCATGCTCATCACGGATAATGCCCCAAGCTTCGGCAAGCCCAGGGTTGTCCACCGACGCCCCATCCACGTTACGCTTGACCCACCCATTTCGAGGAAAACTCCAATGAATTTGCGTCTCCACCCTTTCTGGCTTGGATCCCTGGCGGCCGAAGTTTTAATTTTTTTGTTATGTTCTCATACTTTGTGATTCATTTACGATATATAATCTTTGTTCAATATTATAGCTCTAAATTGTGCTTGTCTTGCATAAAATACATTAAAATTTAGTTGAATTTGGTTTGTATTTACGAAGAGGATAGTATCCACGAGTACCAGAAAACTGCGAAGTTGGGGATGGAGATAAGAAACTACCACTGTATCAGAATTCAGAAAAACAGAGATTCATGGAAGTGTAGGAGAAGTAAAATCGGTTGAGTCATCCTACATTCGCTACGATCATCGTAATGACCGCTTGATCATGCATCGTCAGTTATCTATTGCTTGCTTAGTTAGCCGGTAATTCCCTCCTCAACACATGACAAATATTCCACACAAAGTTACGGGTTGCTTTTCTAATTGCACTCGTCCATGGAATATAGTTTTATTATGGATTTTATACGCTCTGTGCTAAATTATAATTAAATTATGAATTTTTATTATTATTTTGAGCTAGTAACAAACATGAAATAATTTGATTAACTGAATGACCATACGTGTCATCTAGCCAAATTCTTTGACTCAAGAAGTACTAGTAAGAACTTGTTAAACATTATACAGCTGGAAAGAATATGGTGGGTATGATTCAAAGGATGGAATTTGTAAGAGAGCAATATAAGATTTATAATTAACCTTCTTCCAATAACTCGAGTTATTGGGATAAACTGATCCTTGACATGGTATCGTAACAGACTTGGTCAAGTGGTCGTGTGTTCGAATCTCCACAACCCCCAATATTAACAGTTGATTAAAGCACAAGATATGATAGGCATGTGCAAATTTCAAACTCATGAATTGACTCAACTCAAGTTATTGGAATCAACTGGTTCTTGACAAGATTTAGAGCTCCATCTCATTCTCATATCCATATTCGTCGTGGACTCAATTACATGTTGCATATTATCGATTACTTGTCATCTTTTTCCCTCTTCCCAACTTGTAGCACAATTTCAGAAGAATATAGCTCTAAACTCATTGATTTTACTTATTCAATGCAATCATACAATATATGTTACCTTTTAATATTAATTTCCATAAATAATTTATATTTTCTTGTGTTTCTGGTACGACTGATTTTAAACATTCATACTGTAGAATCGATTGTGCTATCAAATTAATTCTATTAAATATATATTGAATTCTATTATCATGTGCCAGTGAGAAATATACGCGAGTATCCAAAACTGCATAGAGGAGAAGGGAGATAAAAAAAGCCCATCCCCCACAGGAATGAAGAGCCTAAGTGTTTATAAATTGAAAATAGAGACGCCAATCTATAGGTTTTCAAAATCAGGCTCAAAGCCAGTTTCATTGCCATCCCCAATGTGAACCTGTTTTAAAAAAGATTGTCTTCCTCGCAAAAATGCACAATCTTCCTCGTAGTTTTTCAGGACAACTAACTCGTTCCAAACATGTAGTCTCTTATATTTTTGTCCTCTATTTTTTTGGATGAAAAAATCAAGGTCATTCCCAATACTAATGATAATTCACTATTTTTTTGGATGAAAAAATCAAGGTCATTCCCAATACTAATGATAATTCACTACAAAAAATAGGTCTATGGCAAGGGTTATTTTCATCTGTAGCAAGGGTTTTAACCCCTGCTATAGGATGTAGCAAGGGTTTGGACAACCCTTGGACGAACCTTTGACAAAGCTGCCCCTGCTATGTGTAGGAAGAGTTATTAGCGACCCTTGGAGCAAGTCTCCTGCAACGGTTATAGCAAGGGTTTAAACCCTTGCTAAATGCCAGTGTAAAGTTATGTAAAATTGTTGAGAATATGCTACTTGCAAGGGTTTTAACCCTTGCACGGTTTATGACTAAAGCTGAAAAACATTTTGTAGCGAAATCAAAATGGTCGCTAAAATTCGTCACTAAATAGAGGCAACATCATGATTAGTGGCAACAACTTCGTTGCAAATACCCTGGTCATTAAAAAAAATCAAGAAAAACCTTTGTTACAAATATTCATAACATACCATATACCCTTCATATCCTGAATCATAATATAATATGATTCATAATGCAAAATGGTGTCCTTTACATGACTAAATACTACTCACCATGAACATTCAAACATTCTCAAAAGAACCCAATTCAAAGCTACACAAGTAGATCATTTCCAAAATGCTTCATACAACATTTGATCACGAAGCTCGAGATTTCATTGACGGAGTAGGAGCCCTAGTGGCACCCTGTTCATAAAATAAAGTAAAAACCATAAAGAAACAAATTAGATGACAAGTCAAGCAATGAAGATGTGAAGGAAATGATACGAGAGATTCAGTTGTGGCTAGGATCTCTTCATTGCTAAAACATATTCAAAACAAGTTGCTACTGATTAAACAAGATGTGAAGGAAATTATGTGAGATTCACTGGTGACTAGGGTACCTCCCTCTAGGTAAACAACACATAGACTAAACATAAATTCAAGCACTAATTCAAGCACACAGATGACAAGTCCAGAATATTGAAAAACATAGCACCTGACCTAAAGAAACAAAGCTTCCTTGGATAATCAGTACTTAACGGAGATCTAGTTCCATTGTATTCATCCTTCTATAATTAACGTGGACGAGGGAATAATTAACTCCATATATATAACAACCAAATGCTCAAGGTTCGACACCTTCATAATCCATACCATCAGCAGCAACTTCAGGGCTCGGAGTCGACATCATTAACTGAGAACATAGTAGGAAGACAAATTAAAAAGTTATGCTTTCCACTTTATGCGGTTCATTCATGTACATAAATACAAAGAAGAGAGTTCTAACTCTGTTTCGTGAGCAGAGTGGCAAAGCTTATAGGCACAAGAGGGTTGTGGTTGCAGAAAGAGGCTTCAACAGGCCATATTCAAAGCTGATCGTCACAAACTGTGGTTTGATGGAATAAAGAAAGTTCTCAGGCTGTAAGACCTCCCAGTTCTTTCATTCTTTTTGTCCATTATTGTTTTCCTAGCGGAACAGACTTACTGTTCAGGAAAAGACAAGAGAAGAAGACACTGA